GGATCTAATTCCCATTATTGCTGGAGATATGATGCATTTATCTCCCTTACTCCACAGCAGTCAAGAATACACACTGAGCACTCTGACAGAAGATTTTTGTGCATATTTTGAAGCAGAATTTCATCCTTAATAGACTAAGCCTGGCAACCAATTTTGTATCCGTGGAGAGTATATGCACTGTTCTTCACAACAAACAAAAAATAATTCACAAGTCTGAGACCATTATGCAATTATTACATAACAAAATTGCATTTTACCCTCCTAAGAATGACAGAATTTACAGAAATTGTTAAATATTAGGCTGATAATAAAATCTGCATCTGGTCAATTTATGTTCCAAATAAAGCCTAGGTACTTGTCTACAACCTGCTATGCAGAAGTTTATCTAAAAGCTGTGTTGTAACACAGGGCAGTCCAAATGATATCAGCATCTGGGGAGGTTCTGGACAGCTCTGACACTCCATTAAACTTGCTTTGATGATAAGAAAATGGAGAAAACAATTCAGATGTAATTTATTGTTGTGATTTATGTAACTGGCTTTCTCTGCAGACACAAATTAGCCATGAAATTCCAATTGAACATACATAATTATCCTCTTTTCATTGAATTACTCAGGAATTTCAAAGGTGTTTGATGAATTTGCATGATTAATTCAAGATTACAGCTTTTTGTTTCACCAAATTTACATAAAAATTCAACATTTAAATTTAAAAATATAAATCTTAAACATTTTTATGGGTCTTAACACTTTTAAATGTGAATAAATGCAACAAAGAAACTAATATCAGGCCATCCTCCATGATTCTTGGAGGTGGGTGGGTGTACAAAAACTGCTGAAAAAATATATAGGAAGTGACAAAAGAAGAACAGGGCACATTATTAGCTGAATTATGGTTATTCTGATATTTTGATTGTGTAAATATGTCAAATTTCTTCATCACTTTAATTTGTAATTTATTAATATTTCAGTACATTATTGTGCTTAACAAATCATGCTAAAATAAACATCCTGACTGAGACTTAATTTAAAAGAGAGGGTCAACACCTACATAAAAGTGGTAAAATGACAAAAAACATTCTCCGGCAAACTGAAAAATCTTGAATGTCAGCTGCGAAAGCATGGAAAAAGTCTAGAGAACCATAACAGGCATACCATGGTGCTAAGTGACATTCTGTACTATATGTGTGATGCATGGTTGGGACTCAGAATAAGTATTCACTCTCATGCCCTGACAGTATTTATGCATTTTTGGTCATAAGCTTCTTATTTTTGACAAATTCTTCATAAATTTTGTTTGTACATTACTTTTATTAGACAAATTTAACTCATTTCATTATTTCTATTCCTCCACTCCAGTAATAAATGAATCACTTAAGGTGAATAAAATGAAAGTAAACCCAGTCTCTGAAAAATTTAACACTTTTTAAAAACATGTTTTACTTCTTCACATTTTATCGCAGTTGTCGCTTTTGTTGAAAACTCATTCGCAAACCCAGAATTAGTCTTTTCTTGAAAAAATCAGCCTAAAGTGCTTTCACGGCAAAGTCTGAATACACTATAATTGACTGCGGTCAGGTGGTGCACAGAGTTTAAAGTCATCTAAAATAAAAAACCAACATTTTCTAACTTCTTTCTACATGTCAGATGCATAATCTTACTTTGAAAGTCATAATTTGGAGTTTTGAGGGTGAAACATAACATATTATTAGTATTTTACATAGAAATCTGTATAAATTAATGTCAACCCTACTTCTAAATTTAAAAATGTGTGCTTTCACACAGAAAGTTCATAAAATGACATATTTTGTTGAAATATGCCTTCATAAAATTAAAACTGCCTTTAATATGGGGGTAGATGATTTTACACGATCACCTTCAAGGTATCACACCGGTAATTGTTTTCACTATGTAATTCTATATAGAATAAAAAATCATTAAAAATCAGGTATTCGAATTCATGAAAAAATATTTAGCAGGAAGTGTTAAACGTTACCAGTCACATCAGCTGACACCAAAAAATAGGGTACCTACACGGCATTTTCTGATTTTTTCCATCCGCAAACAGGAATACCCTCAAAACCACGTGTATTCAATGTGTTTATAAACATCCTGTGTGCACCCCAGGAAGTGGCCTCCTATGCCCCGAAAGAAATAGTTCCTGTCAAAAACCTTTAATATTTTACAAAGGACATAAAATATCCTAAGCACAGATACCAAAAATGTAAAAATAGAATAAGGGAAAATACAAAATTTCTCACAATAAAAAAAATATTTCTTTATTATGTATGGAACTACAATTGAATAAGTTCATTTTGATTGGTCAATTACCGGTGTGATACCTTAACATGACATCGTTATCAGAAACAAATTGCGGTATCAATAGAATTTAACCCATGTTTCCTTTGTGATCATGAGCATGAGAGTGTAAAATTAAGATCGTTCAGCAAGATTCTTCAGAAGGATGTCGTGTGTCGCCATTTGAGTCTTTCAATTATATTTATTCCTCAAACCTTTGCTTACCAACATGCACATGCATGTAAAGCATGTGTCTCAAGATAGGTTTTGATATCATAAATAATGAAAAAAAAAACCATCGAGAAAATAAAGTATCAGAACATATCGTTTTTAACATATAAACCATATCAAAAATACAAAATATAATGAAGGACGATCTCACTTACATAAAAAAAAAGATTTTCTAAAATTGATTCATTGGCTGATTTTTAATGCATACCAAATTCAAATTCAAATTAAAAATGAGTTAAACATAGTTTTACAGCTTATAAAATAGGTTAATCAATTGTAAACTATAGCTTTCGAAGCATAAGCTATAGTTGACGACTTGATAACTTTATGTATTAGTTTTCATCTGAAAAACTATATTTAGGAGTTGTAAACTATAGTTTATGATTGCTTCTGCGAATAACAGTTATGATAGTTTTTATTGAAAAATGAAAATTCTCATCTGTAACATGTTATTAACATTCGTTAACCATAGTCAAGAGTTGTTAATCATTGTTTCAATAACCGTGAAACTTATGTTTTACATTTGTAAATTATATAGTTTTCGGTTAACAATATTTTACAGTAAAAAACGGTATATAGTTTATTCTTATAAACTACAGTTTTGAGACATAACTTATAATCAACATTTGTCAATCATATTTTATCGTCATAAACTGTAAATTAATTCTTAACTTGACTTTAGATAAACTATTAAATAGGAAATTTGAACGAGTAACCGAGTAAAAAAATATTAAGTCAATAGTCGGTTTGACCGAGCAATGGTCGGGTACTCGAATACTCGTTGACATATCTAGAATTCAGTTCATTTTGTAAGATAAGTATAAAAATTTTGAACTTTCTGTAAAATAAGTAACTTAAAACACATTTTGCATATAACTTAATATTTAAGTTCAATCTGTAAGATAAGTACATATATCAATACAATTACATTGTAATATGTGTTAACGCTGTAGTATATTTTGTGAGATAAATATAATAATGGAGATTTTTGTATGATCTTCACAACAGATTTGTAAGATACTAGACATTATTTTTGTAAAAGAAATAATACATGTACAAACTCTTGAAACAAAGCAATCATGTATATAATGTTATTTTTTATCAGTATCTTGTGTTTTACTTTTTTATGCCCCATTTGAAATAAGGGGACAAATTGCTTTGCACCTGTCGGTCTGTTGATAGACCAAGTGTTGTATATCTTGAGAATCCTTTGTTTGAAGGACATCAAACTTGGTACAACCTAAAAGTAGATTACCCCTATTGATTTTGAGGTCACAAAGTCAAAGTTTAAAAGTCAAACTATTCAAGATATAGGAAAATATTGTCCGCTCAATATTATGAGAACCCTTTGCTTGATAGACGACAAACTTGGAACACTGATTCTCCTAAAGTGTAAAGTTCCCTACTGATTTTGAGGTGACAAGGTCAAAAGGGACACAGGATGATATTGTTCAGCCAAAATCCTCAGAACCCTTTGCTTGACACACATCAAACTTGGTGCATTGGTTCCCCATAGGAAAACGATTACCCATTTTGATTTTTAGGTCATAAGGTCAAAGATCAATGGTCAGACTGGACATAAGAAGATATTGACTGCTCAATATCTTGAGTACCCTTTGTTTGACAAACATCAAACTAGGTACGATTTTTAAAAAAAAAAATTTCAAACTAGGTACGATTTTTAAAATTTTTCTTAAAAATTTATTTGTTTTTGTCATAGAATTCGCAAAATTACGTAGGTGACATTCATCATTTAATTTTTGCTGCCAAACTTTTAAGAAACAAATATCTATGACATAGAATGGGCAGAAATTTTCAATTTTAATTAGGAATTATACTTTAAAAAAGCCAATTCTGATTCCCACTAGAATAAAACAGGACATAAAATATTTTAATTCCTTCACGAAATAAAAAAATTTATTAGCTTCCTGTTTCAGAAGTTAATTGATTTTAAAGATTTTCAGTAGGAAAGAGCAAGGTGTACTAAGGATATGTACACGAACGGCAATAAAGATGTCATCAAACAATAAATAAACAAACCTAAAATGTTCAGCGAGGGACAGAAGTTGTTTTATTTGCCCTTGGGTATGATTTCATGCATTGAAATCGAGCACTCTCTATTCGATTTGTTCTTGTGTCCCTTCATTATGGTCTGCCCAGCTGAAGTGTAAATAAAGTTGTTTTAGATTTGTTAATTTAGATGTCATTACCGCTAGATGGTTAAGCTAAAATCGATGTTTTAAAATAGGTAGGCAATCTTTGTAAATTTGTATTGATTTCTTAAAGATGCATGTATACATAGTGTAATTTAATATTAATATTTAATGATTTGGGGACATTGAGTTTTTTTTAGCTTAGATAAAAGATATTTATGAAGAAAAATGTATTTTTGATAATAATGCACATGGAAGATTTTTGAAAAAATGTTTATATAGAGATTTTATATCAAGTCTGATTAAAAGTAAAATAAACTTAATAAAAAGCTCCACAGGCAAACTTGTAAAGTTTTGTACACTCTTTGTCCCTGAGATGCTGAGTGTCATGGAACAGAGTACAGTTTTTCATAGCACTCGGATACCCATCATCCCATACAGAGGAGTCTATGATTTGGTCGGTGACCACCCATCTGTAGACGTCACCTTCCAGCTTCCCTCCAATGTAAATATCATCGTTATCTTCTACACTCACCAAGCCTTAAAATACAAAACTAGCTAAAATTATTATCTGAAGTAAAATAGTTTGATCGTTGTAAATAAACATAAATCATAAATGTGTTCTCCCTTTTAACGCGGACGAGTGTAGATAAATACTGTGCTTTTTTAAAATATATATATATTTATCACCTCAATAAAAGCTAATTGATACATGTAAGCAACTTTACACATATCTGAGGATGTGATGTAACTAAAAACTTTTTTCAACATTTAAATCTATAATAAAAGCACCTGATCTGAAGTAGAGAATGAATATTCAAACAAGATTAGGTTTCATACAACGCAATATTTCACGCATTCCTATAATGCTCAACAATGTTATAGTTTCATGAGATCTTTCGATCAAAAGTGAAGATACAGAGCAGTAATCAAGCTAAAAAATCAAGTTAAACATGATTAGAAATTTAAAGCACACATGCCCCCAGAAATACCAGAGGTCGTATCAGGTGTCATGGTGGATAATGAATATACATTTCATACAGTATATTGGAGTGCATAACGATGTTGATGAAACTCTGTAGATTCATAAAAGAATTTTTAGCTTCTGTGTCCCGCTAAATATTTTAAAGTTACAACCGGCATAACTTTTACTTACTTCTTAGATAGTTCTTTAAGAGAGTGACTTGTGCTGGAGTGTTGATATTTATAAGTCGTTGCGAGTACGTTTTGCATGTATTATCAGCATCATCCCAGGTCTTCAATTCATTGGAAAAGTGTATACAAAGTCTATTTTCTTCATCGTGGTAAAATGTACCAGGGCATTCGTCTGGAAATAATACAGGGAATAAAGTTTGCGACATTGCAGAAAAAAATATAATCATAAAAGGTTATATGTATGTAATTATGTATATTTTTGAATGGTTGCACTCCTTAATCCGCATATAAACAAATAAAAACATTTTATTATTTATATTTATTTATGTTTACATTTCATCTCAATTGGCTGAAAGTAATTAAAGTATTGTATTAGTGATCTGTACGTTACATTTATGGAATAGCAAACTCCTTAAGAAATCTTTCAAACAAATGACTTAAAATAAACCAGATCTAGCATATTCAGAGTTCATCGATTGATTAACTCAATTGGTGTTTTGCTTGAGAAATAAGGGAGTCAATACATAATATAAATAGAACATTACATCTTACAGAAAATGATATTGTGTGCAATATGCTACACTTACAGACACAGGCGGTATTGACAGAGGACCACTCTCCGTCTAACTGACACGTGACCGTATTTGTTGTATTTGTCAGGTTAAAACCTGTATAACACGTGATGTTCCGGATAGAAGAATATACATCTGATCCAGTGCTCAGGTTCCCGTTTGGTATACTGGGAACTTCTCCACAAACTGAAATATATCATATCAAGAGACATGTTCTTTGCAATTCAATCGTTGTTGCAACTGAGAAAGATGTGGATATAATAATATAGAGTCGAGTGAAAAACGGTTCATATGAAATTTCGGTAGTTTACTTGATGGATAGGTGAAGGGGTGGGGGTGGGATGGTGGTGGGGGTTGTAAGTCGTAATTTCGATATAATGACAAGCTGGTACCCAATCCATCAAGCTAAGGTTCTTTATAATAAAAATTTGTAAGAAAAATAAGTATTTCATCCTAGAAGACATTTATAATATTCAGTAATTCATAGTTTTACCTATATTTTCGCATCTCCCCGTGACATTGGACCAAGTTCCGTTGAGTTGACATATAGAGGTAAGGTCACCACTAGGTGTCGATACGTTGTTACAGTGATAGATAAGCACTGTACCAAAGGCACGCTTGCTGGACTGGAAAGTCGTGTTCGAATTGATAACGGTGTGGGGTTCCCCGCATTCTAAATGAAATATTTTTATTCTATAGCAATTACATGTTTTAATGTATATTTAAAAGTATAAATTGCTAATGTGATCTTTAACTAAAGTGTCTTTTCTTTTGCAGTTTAGGACCATCATTATTCCTTACTGTTTCATGCTTTTAGACATAGACCTAGTAAATATGATCCTTTATAAAGTTTACTATACTACCTGAAGTAATGCACTGAATTCCACTAAACGTATGGACGCATTTACTGTGTGGACCACATTTTATACCACAACAGGGGTCTGGGAATTCCTGCAAAAACAGAATAATTTACTTCTAAATACAGAATTTTACCAGCAATTATAGTTGCATAGTATTAATAACACTGTTCATGATGGTTCAAAGAAAAATATCAGTCTTTAAGTCTCAATTCAATAAAAGGACATTGTTTCGAGGCTTGTTCTTTCAGGATGAAAAATTGTTATAATGGTTAATTTATAAAAGAAATCCTTAAAGATTTCCGAAACTCTGGTTGTTAAAAATGATCTTCAGCACCAAGTGATCCTTAAATGAGTTTCGACTTTTCTGACATATAATTTTCACCGAAATCCACAAATCCACATTGAGCAATAATTTCTAAGTAAAATGTTTTACTGACGTGCGAGAATAACTTACTTGTTTAATGTCGTCAAGGGATGAATAGTGATAAAACTCAGACGTTTGCATTGTACCCAATGCCATGTCGTCGGCACTGATCTCGCAGTGAAAAGTTTCCCATTTATAGTTGATAGACGCACAGTCTGTTGACGAGTAACATTCCAATTTACATGAACAGGGGCCTATGTTGCTCACAGTGCGAATTACGTGGTTTTCCAGACGAGTATTATGAAAAGTGAAAGCTAATATCAATGAAAGAGATGAACATACAAGAAGGCGCCGAAAATTGTACATTTTTATCAGAAGTAATTTACAATGTTAAAAAGCAAAAATTTGAAAATAGTTCATCTCTGTTTACTAGAGCATGCTCTTTGCCCTTATACTCCATCTTATCAATTGAAAATTTTCACTGATATGTTAAAAATCAAATACATTTGTAAACATTTTTAAACAAACATTTTTACAATACAGAATTGATATTCGCTTTTAAATTGCCTTTTTCTTGTTTGGAAATAGTTTGTGTTGACATAGTTAATGGTTATTTATTTGTTTTAAATATTCCATATTCACTTATACTTGTAGGATAATATATTGATCATTCATTAAAGGTCCTCCATTTACTTATTCTTCACATTACTTCTGTATACATACAAATTAATTTCAATCATAAAAGCGCAAAATAATTTTCAAAAATTGTCCGTTTATTTGTGGTAGTCTGTTTTATGTGATAAAGCTTTAGTTCGGGGAGACAAACAGGGATCTGAGCTGTAATCTTTTGAGCTTTTCTGATCACCCGTTATCCGGTGTCCGTCATCTTAGGAAGCCGAGGGTTTTCGGTGAAATATGGAGACAACGAACAGTATTCAAGCTCATAGTCCATTTAAACAATACAAACTGGGAACAGAGCAAATATGGACCTCCAAAAACATCAGAGGCGGGATCAGGTGCCATGGAGGAGTAAGCATCGTCTGTCGACCGGTCACACCCGTCATGATCGGGCAAACGGAAAAATCCGTAGAAATTTCAGTGTGTAAATAATGGCGTAACAATTAGTATGAAAAAAGTCAGTTAGCATTTGTCCTAATGATAGATTTTATTTGCTGATAAGGTCATTGTATCGACCATAGAACTTGCAAAATGATGACTTCAAAAGAGACTGTTGATATCCATGTTTCTTCATCTTGTTGGTTAACAGCTTGCCTCATTTTAAAAATTGATCGAACGTAGAGCATGCTCTTGCGCATCGAATCAACTCGGAGACATTAATCCCATATGCAGGTGATAAGGGTATATTGCTACATAAGTAAGGGAAGTTGACGATGGAAAAGTTAAAGTAATCACGTCTATCATTAAGTTTTGTTGTTATGTTACCATTAGCGTCTTTTCCTAGTAAAATGTTCATTTCGCTCCCCATAAACCAGTAATGATCTCATATAATATTTCTAATTTTCTTATTTAAGAACACTCTTAAGAGCAACATACATGTGAAACAAATATCACTATCCCTAAGTGAAAGAATAATCGTTTGTTATCTGTTTTTGTCCGTCGTCTTTCGTCGTGCATTGTTCGTCGTCCATAACATTCTGAACATTTTCACTTCTTCTATGGAACCACTGAAGCAATTTCAAACAATTTTGGTCTATAGCATTTTGGAGTGAGGAGCAACATAAAATTACGAATTCCAGGGTCTCTGCACCCTTGGGCCTGAGGGGTGAGGTGAAAACCATCAAGTTAAAAATTAATGCAATCTTTAAAAATAGTCTTATTTACTCCTGGACATCATGTAGTTGAACTGTTGTCGTAATTGTAATAAGCACTGAGCCCTCTACAAAAATTGTGAAATTCATTGCCCCAGGGTTATGGGGTTCTGGAGTTAGGGTGGGGCTCCATAGATCATATAATGAAAAATGCATAAATTCTTTTAAAATCTTTACCTCTCTATAAATATATTGAGGAGATAAGTGCATGTTCATGATGAACAAAGGTGCCTCTTCCAAAATTTTGAAATTTGTGGCCCAAGACTCAGGGATGATGGTTAGGGGCTTGATTTTATAGTGAAAATGGATTATTTCTTAGAAAATCTCTGCTTCTTGGTATTAAGCAAACTAACTAAGTACATAGTTATTATGAGCAACAGTGTCTCTTCCAAAATCGTGAATTTCATGTCCCAAGGCTTAGGTGTTCTGGTGCTTGGGAGGGGCTCTATTGATTATATAGTGAAAATGTAATATTTCTTTGAAAATCTCTACCCCATGCGTATTAAGCAAACAAAATAAGTGCATAGTTATGATGAGCATGAGTGCCTCTTCTAAAATTTTGAATTTCATGGACCCAGGGCCAGGAGCTTTGATATTTTTAAGGGGAGGTGGGTTATTGAGCATAAAATGAACGTGTATTATTTCTTTGAAATTCTTTTTCTTCTCCTAAGCATTCAAAAAAAAAAAAAAATCATAGTTATGATAACAAAGGGATCTTCTTCCAGAATTATGCATTTTATAGCCCTTGGTCGGGGTTTAGGTGTTAGGGAGGGGTTCTGTTGATTATGTAGTGAAAAATGCATTATTTCTTTGAAAATCTTCTTTTCTGTTCCTGTGTTTTAAGCAAACAAACTAAGTACATTGTTATAATGAGCAAGCGTGCCTTATCCTAAATTGCTATTTTAATGGAGTCAAGGAATCTAGTATAAGAGAAGGAATCTATATATCATATGGTGAATTGCATGAATTGTTTTAATATCTTTTTTCTTTGTTTCTGGGTGCATGTATTTTGCATACTAATTGCATGATTATGATGAGCAGGGGTGCCGTTTTCAAAATTTTGAAATTCATAGCCTCTGGGACATGGGTTTTGTGTAAGGACGGTGCTCTGTTGAATGTATTGTGAAAATGCTTATATCTTTGGAATTATTCTTCTCTGCTCCTAGTTATTTAGGAAACAAATTAGTGCATAGTTATGACGAGCAAGGGTGCTTCTTCCAAAATTAATGGCTCCTTGGGTGGGGGTTCCGGTGTTAGGGTGGGGTTCTATTGATTATATAGTGCAAGTACATTAATTTTATAATTGAAAACCTTATCTGATCCTGCACATTAAGCAAACAAACTAAGTGCAAAGTTATGATAAGCAAGTGTGCCTCTTCTAAAATTGTGAATTTCATGGCCCCTGGGTCGAGATCTTGTGTAAGGATGGTGCTTTGTTAATTATGTAGTGAAAAATGCAACATTCTTTGAAAACCTTATACTCTCCTCCGGGGCATCCAGGAGGCAATCAGAGTACAATGAAGAAATAAGCAGGGGTGTTTTTACTACATATATTAAATAAATTCTGGATCACTTGGCTCTGTGTTCTGATGCTGGGCAGGGATCTATTTAATTTGTATTCTACTGAGAGAAGTATTTCCCCTATTCGCCTATGATAATAATCTCCTGTAAATAATTGAATTGAAAGGTCAATTGAATAAGTGATTTATGCATATAATGCAAAAAATACTTTCTTAGTTTTTGATGGTCGGGAAGATGAGTAAAAATAAGAAAAAATATGGTCGAAGGCCCTAAAATCGTTAGGGTCCGAATTTTGACGGTTTCTTTCTTTTGTTTATATCTCCATCGATTTTGCAAGAATAGACTCATCTTTGTAAACAAAACGAACTACGGTAGACTTGCAATCGCATCCCCCCACATGCAATCAAAATTTCCTTTTTAACTATGACTTTTTTCATAAAGTTTTCAGGCAAAAATATCTGATTTACGTTAACTCTCTTTTTAAAAATATCTTTGGAATCATATTACCAGCAAAAGCTTGCAACAAATAATTTGACAACATGTCGTCTCCATAGACTGATTCATTGATGAAACGTTTTGGAAAATAGACCAAGACAATAATATTTTTAGTTTAATGCAAACTATTTTTTACATTAAACCAAGAATTTGTCAAAAACTGAAAGAGAAAATAATGACATAATCTGATGGCTCACATTTGTTATCCTGATATAAAGAAGTAATCCAAATACAGGCAATATTCACCAACTACCTTGAAGTTCCCTATGCCTACCTCTTAATACAAAATGACAAATAGGTCTATTCAGTTTTGGGAGCAGCGAGGCAGTACAATGTGACACCATTGCATTGATAAATGACATTTAGCCAATCAAATGCTAATTCTACCTTTGATAGAATTGATTCTGATTAAATTGCAATAATTTTAACGATATTTACATCTATACTAAAAATTTGTTTTGTTTTGCCTTGCATATCGATCGAAGACGTAACCGTCGGAATTATGACTCGGTATGGCGGCGCCCATTGTTTAAATGCATCGCATTTGATAACAGATAAAAATTTTAAGTTGAATCCCTATATAGAAAACATTACACTTTGAATGAAGTATTTTTAGGCACAATTTATTTTTGTGGATAATAAATTATTTGATATTTAAAATTTACACACCTTGATAGACTGTCGAAATATGGGCACACAAGGATACCTCATCCTTGTACAAGAAATATTCTTCAAAGACCAAGAGAGGCCAGTTTGAGAGGGAATGAGATGTGTTTACTTAAAGTGCTCAGGTACTATTGTTTTGTCTAATTAACAAGAGTGACAAATGGGGACAAATATAGGCAAGTAAATAGATCTACTTTTTGACTTGCTACTGAGCATATTTTGTTAATCCCCGATCATCCTATTTCTCTTGCTTTTGGGCAACATATCTTCATCTATCAATTTTGTTTTATTTATTACTTCATGAATCCTTTACAGTGCTGTACATGCATTATACTCAGGTCACCCTTAAGGCCATTGGGCATCTTGTATTGGAGGGTTTTTGCTGTTTGAAATTTTACTCTACAATCTTGAAAATCACACTTCAAATAGTTTACCAAATTTCAAAAAACAGAAATATGAAATAATGCTTCCTTTCCATGAAACAGTTTTATATGGTAAATAGAGTGAGATGCTGATATTAGAACATCACGTGTTTTAATGGGATGTAAAACCTCGTAAAAGTGTGTAATTCAACAATGTGCCATTCTCTGACAACGGGATCAAACAAGATTGATACAAGAAGGAAGAGTACACGTAATTATAAATCTATAAAGTTTTCCTCGTCTGTTACCAATACATATTTGGTTGTAGTTTAGCGACAATACACTCTGTTATTCTTCAAAGCATTGTCTTACTACAACCGCAAGGAATTTATTGAAACATTGTTGCCTGGCAACCTTTTCAATGTAGGAGTGTGCTTTGTGAAAGGTGCTTATTTTACTTAGATTTTTTTTTATTTAAAAAATCTCCTTAATTGGCGCCTTTCTTGCCAATCCTCGTGACGGAAGAGATTTCTCCGTGCTATTGATCGGCAAGAATAACGATTCATACCAAATTGGCCAAACTTCTTAGGATATATACGTGTTATGATTTAAGATGTCGGTCTCAACAGTTCGGATTAACAATATTCGGAATCTTGTTATCGGTATTTCGATTTTTTATTGTGGTGAGTTTTTTTAATAGAAATTATTTTCTATTACAATATTTTTAATAATACATGTATAGTACAGTACGCGTCGAGAGAATTTATACCAGGCAAAACTTCTGAGGGCTGGGATCCTCTTCTGAAAAAGTAGTTCTCAAACTTGCCACTAAAATTTGCAATAGCAGCAATAATTTCAAGAATTCTGCGTAAAGGACTCTAAATTACAAAACTTTCCCAAAAGTTTTGAATGTTTTCTTTCTATATTTCTTTTAAAAATGTTTACATTAATAATTGCAACCTAAAGATACATGTTACAGATTATGTTGGATGACGAATTTTAACATTTTACAACATGCACCAAATCAAGTCCTTAAAGGATGTTTTGTAACATATTGCCTTATTACTTTGAACAAAAAAAATTCTTTTTAAGGACAGATGATGCACACAAAAAAGGATGCCTGGATTGCTATGTATTTTCGGACCTAATTAAAATCTATGCTGTAAAATCTATTCATTTTACTTATATAAAATGTCTTAAGTTGATATTTTCATTTTATTTTGATAACGATTGTTGCTATAAAACCAATTAAATGAGATGTTGCAATATTATGACACAGTAATTATAAAAGTGATTGAAAATTGGCCTTTCTGTAACGCTCAACATATGGAACATATTTACGGAAGTTTGAAGAATGAATTTCTTTTCTGCGAAAAAAATGATATGAATCCGGAAAATGAATAATTTTTATTCCAATAAAATTGCGTCAGACATTAGAGTTTGTATAAGGCCATCTTTAAAATAATGTTTGTTTGCCCTCTCCCGACTCAGGGTAAAAAATTGGGTCGGTAGGTAGGTAGGGAATTTTTTTCCTAGAAAATTTCAACATATATATCGACAGGATGAAAAAATCCAGGAATAAAAAGAAAAAAAATATCGTTTTTAGGAGGTTACAAAAAAGTTTTGAGTCGGGTCATTTTCAGGCAGTCGGTCGGCAAGTCAGAATACTAGTATTTCATACCAAGGGTATACTGAAAATCAGTAGAGGTTTTTATTTTCTTATCTCAAGGGCTTTTTATTTTAAATTTGCTACAGTTTATATTTTGTTTTGATAATATTTTGCATCTCTTGTATTTTTTCCAAATGTATAACAAATCCTTGATAATGCTTGCTTTTTTTGGAGAGAAAGAGAGAGAGAGAGAGAGAGAGTATTTCACTGGTCCACATGCAGAGCACGTCCCATTTTCTTCAAAATATGTTTGGAAATATTTTGCAATCAGAAATTAAAATGTTCCTGGAATTATCATCATTATTACATAAAGTAGATGTTGCATTGAAAGAAAATATTTTTAAAAAAAAATTCCACCTAAATTCTTATTTTTTGTCAGCCATGTCGTTGAATGTCAAAATATAAATATTTGATGTTTCCTGTTTTCAATTCATTTCCCTTCTGCCACTGTTTTCCGTCATCATGGCACGTATTCCTACGATCCCATTGCTTCAGGAGTGAAGTTAATCGCCATACTCATTAGTTTTAATACATTTTTTTCCAACAAGAGGAAAGGAATTGTCGCAAAATCTTAAATCAGATTCGTATATGTTCAAAAACATCATTAGCTAGATAGAAGAACAAGTAGATGAGTTTGAAGCTTGAAATGGTCATATTTCTTTTTTTCTGTTTTCTTTTTTTTACAGCCCATTGCTGTGTTTGTTCGTCCTCTGATGATATTGTGAATTTACATGACTCCTTGTTCAAGAATTACAGAAACAGTGTCAGGCCTGTAAGAAACCAACACGATGCTGTACACGTTAATATCTCCTTCAACATCATCATGATACATGACTTGGTAAGACCTTTTATTTTGAACGAAATGAGTTGGTTTGAATGTTTAGGTTCCAATCTTTTTGACCAAAAAAAAAATGTTTGTAAAATTAACATGGTGAGAATTTGATTATACTACAAAAAAGGGGGAGCCAGCCTTTCACTGAACATTTTCATACTTAATTAACAGTAATACATAAAACATTATGTCGGAAAAATGAGGGGGCCACCTCAACCGCCCATGCCCACCCCTAAACTACATGCCCGAGAAATACAAGAGTGATGTGTGAATTTTTGTATCTCTGTAAGATCGAGAATTCTTCGTGTGAATGTCCGTTTGTCATGTCAATTTTGCATTAAATGCCCTGATCTGTACGGTATACATTAATTAATGACATTTGTATGTATAATATCATTATTTTGTGTAGATGTGTTTCTTGATCTGGCACTTCAGACATTGACTGAACTTCATTTAAGCTAAAACTTTTGTATGGTCAAACAATGGTTACAAAAAGGAAAATGATTTCTGTACAAAACGCATCGTTTCGTGTGATAATTTTACTGTATAAATGATTTATGCAACTTCATTTCAGATTAAGGTTTTAACTACATAAGTGTCTTGAAGTAGTTGCTATGGATAAATTAAGAAACCGTTATTCTAATTCATACGTACGATGACAAACTTTCTAATCTCATTTGCGAAATAAACGCCATCTCTTCGAGTTTTATCTCACCTAAGACAAAGGCTCAAATGTAAAAGTTGGTAATTCCACATTTCATCTCAGCTTTTCCCACTTAAAAGTTAGTAATTCCAACTTTAAAGTTTGCTTTTCCAACATTACAGTTGATAATTCCAACTTTAATCTTGGCTTCTCCAACTTAAATGTAGGCTTTTCCAACTTTATTCAACTTTAATCTTGGCTTGTCCAATAAAAGTTGGCATTTCTAACTTAAATTTCGACTTTTCCAACTTTTTAGGTGTTCATGCGTTATATTCGTATGCTTTGTAGTTGGACTCATGTTGCTGTTTTACAATTACAATGGAAATAAACAATTTAATTATATAATTATGATGAAAGAAGGAATAATCTTCATTGTTTTCATATACAGAATTGATAATTTAGTATAGTTGTCTTCGTAGCATGAAAAATAGTGTTGATTCATCCTATATTTAATTACCTACCATGGTCCCATTTGTTTAATCTCATTTTCAACAAATTTATATATGTCTGTTCTCTTAATTAGATGTGGATGAAATGTTTCATTTACAGAGAAGTATAAAGTTATCCCTAAAAAAATTATATAAGATGGACCAAGAGAAATATAAGGGATTTTAAAGTTCAAAAATATTTGTAAGATAATTGACACTGTTTAATTGATCAACAATTTGTTTCAGTGTATTAAGGTAGCATAAATGGAATTGATAATAATATTAGATAAAGGGGAAAAAACTTGAGAAAGAGTTAGAAAAGCTCAAATTAAAGTTGGACTTACCAACTTAAAAGTTGGACTTACCAACTTTAAAGTTGGATTTACCAACTTTAAAAAGGAGTTGATCCTTACATGGCAGGTTCGAATCCCACTGCAGAATGTGGAGACTGGTCCTCCGGATGAGACCGTATAAACCGTGGTCCTGTGTCGCATTAGATGCTGGCACGAAAAAGATCCTTCACTGCTCAATGGCCCTGAGTCCGGGTATAGGTCTGAATGTGCAGCCCTCCACCAGCAAGTGGTGGCGTCTCCATATGAGTGAAAAATTCTCGAAAGGGACGTTAAACAAAAAACAAACAAACAAACTTTAAAGTTGGAAAAGCCAATATTACAGTTGGAAAAGCCAGTCTTAAAGATGAAATTACCAACTTTTAAGTTGGAAAAGCCAAGATTAAAGTTGGAAAAGTTAGCTTTAAAGTTGGAATTACAAACTTTCAAAAAAAAGTATTACATGGCACAAATACACTTCCGTACAAAAGAGCTAAAAGAGCTTTTTTGATCGAAGGATCTGTCACATGTCGTCTCGTCTCTGTTGTCTGTAAAATTTTTACATTTTTGACTTCTTCTCCAGAACGACTGGGAAAATTTCAACCATAATGGGAGATCAAAGTTTAACAACGGAATAGCAGAAATCTTAAAAAGTCTTCTTAAGAACATCAGGGCCACATATTTTAAAGGTTTACATATGAATAATTTTTTTTAAAGGTTTACATATGAATAAATTGAGAATTTTTTTTAAAGAGACTACTTCTCAAGATTAACAGGGTCATGATTGGTCATATTAATACAGAAACACCGTCAGGTAGTGTAGATAGAAGTTTTATCATACCACGCCCCTACCCTTTGGGTTAGGGTGGGACAACTATAGGTATCTTAGTTTACAGGGGATTTTTTTTTTTAAAAACAAATCTTTTGAGTAGCAGGGCCACACTAAATCGTATTAATAATATGGAAATAAACCTAAGTTATACGGACCCTGGGTTTAGGGTGGGATAAAAATTTGGGATCAATTTTTTTTTCAAAATGCATACACTATGTACAGGAAAATGCTTTAAAAATCATCCAGAGGGAACAGCAGAGCCATTTTGATCATATTGATATTGATTATTCAATATATAAATGATATTGGATTCAACTTTGGTTACATCATAACCTCTTGAGGGTTTTTTGAGCCACAATCTAAGGTCATTTTTTATTGGAATAAAGAGCAAAAATACAATGTATCTTTTAATCTTTTTTTTGTTTTGAAAAACAGCAAGACCAAGGTGACTCAGGTGAGCGTTGTGGCTCTTTGGTCCTTTGTTTGAAGCCTCTATTCTTTTCTTATGTTGATGCGATTATTATCAATCTGCATGGATGTATGAGAGATTGAACTTTTTATTTCTCCTCAGAGATTTTGAGAGAGATATAACTTATACTGATTCTTGAGAGTAATGAACTGAACATACTGCAATAACCTTTCCGTTCCCAAATTTGAAGTTCACATCTACGTTATAAATGTACATGTATCTCACTATGGACATTTAACAACATTTATCTAGCATATTATAGTACTGTGTGATGGCATCAGCATTGTGCATGAAAAATAATTTTATTTGCTTTTCTCCTTCGCAATTAGCTTAAAAGATTGATATAATTGCTTTTTGCTAAAAACAGATGATACAAACAAACTTAACCTTTGTTTCAAATATCTTGAAAATAACTCAGTCATGTTTATGTAAGTTAAATGAATAAGATTAAGTTGAAAGTTAGAAGTTTAACCGAATAAATTTTAATTTTTCATTCAAAGGTTCACTATTCTGTCCTATAAAGTGAGAAAAGGTTGTATAGTTTGTAAGGGTGATTTCAGAAAGGTAGAATTTTGAACATTATGGAGAGTTTACTTAATATCTTAGAGATTTGAAGTATGCATCATTCGGCGCTGCGTTAAATTTAGCGGTCAACATGTTTTCGTTGATTTATACGTGAATAAGCAAATATAAAGCAATCAAAGATAATCAAACTGTTTTGTAAAACAAACGTTTGTAATTAAGTGGGAAATACGTTAAAATGTTTTATAATATCAATAATCAGCAAAGGACTTTGTAAGAATTAGCAGTAGCGCGATGGTACTGTATGTCACAATGAAACAAGGCACAGCATTGAATCAAATATGGAGATAACGTACAGTCATCAAGCTCAGAAGTTCATAGAAAAAATACAAATCAGGAGCAGAGCAAACACGGATCTCCAAAAACATCAAAGGTGGGAACAGGTGACATGGAGGAGCAAGCATCCCCTGCTGACCGGTCACACCCGCCGTGTGCTCCTTTTCATGATTGAGAAAACGGATAAATCAGTAGACAATTCAATGTGTAAAACCTGGTCTAACAATAAGTATGAAAACCGTCAGTCAGCATTCGACTTAATGATAGATTGTATTTGCTGACAATGTCATTGTATCGACCGTAGAACTTGCAAAGTAATGACTTTAAACGAGACTGTTGATATTCTTGTTTCATCAACTTGTTTATCAATAGCTTGCTTTGTTATAGAAATTGTTCGTACGTAGAGCATGCCCTTGCATATCAAATCAATTGGGAGACATAAACCGCATATTCAGGTGATAAGGGTATATTGCTACTTATGTAAGGGAAGTTGACAATAGAAAAGTTGAAGTCATCACGTTTATCATAAGGTTTTGTTGGTAGGTTACCATTAACGTCTTTTTCTAGTAAAATATCCAAATAAGAAACGGATGTGTCAGACTCTGGTATCTTTTATTTCAAGTTCAGTGGGATATATCGAGTAGACATATGGATGGAAGTAACTATTGTTATTTGATAATACGTGACGTCGTCAATATATCTAAATGTCGAGTTGAAGACAACAGCAAGTGTTTTCTTCTTATGTACAAGTTTTTGAATAAATTCTGCTTCATATGAATACAAAAATAGGTCTGCTAATAACTGGGTGAAATTGGTACCCACGGGAATTCCGACAGATTGTTGGAAGACCTGATCTCCAAAAACTACATAGATATTGTCAATCAGAAACTCAAACATCTTTTCAATATCAACTTTGGAGAACTTGTGTGTACGATCAGAATGTCTTTTTTACAAAATCATGTTGTAAATGACCAATGACAAGGTAAGTAAATTAACGAGTTCCATTTTTATTGAAAAAAGCAGCTGTCTATGATGTCAAAAAGCCTGGATTTTAGTCTATCTTGGGTAATGTTTGTATAAAGTGTTCAAAAGTCGTACCTTTTGATGTTACTGATTTTGGCTAAATTTTGTGATTTCAAATTTGCTAAAAGTTCCTTGGAATTTTTAAGTATCCAAATCTGATTTATACCAATTCTTGAATATATTGTTGAACAGTACTCCTGAGGTTTCTCAAATTGTTGTTCCTTGATTTATTGCCAAACCGCTAGCTTAACGTCCCTATCTGAATATATTTTAAACAGCTAACAAAAAGTATAGTTCAGTTTCATTTTAAAAAATACTTTTCAATTCAAAGAAACTTATTACTCATTTCAACACGGATATCACT